CACACACACACACACACACACACACACACACACACACACACACACACACACACACACACACACACACACTCCTGCGCACGAGGTGGAGGGTAGCGAGTGGCAGGCGAAGGATGGCAGATGGAGGGCAGCCGCGAGCGAAAGGGTGACAGATGACCGGGCTGGCAGCCTAGGGTCCTGAGTTTTGAGCCCTGTGGTGATACACAGGAAAGAGAAAGAGTTGTGGAGCAGCAAGAACGCAAGACTCAGTGTGCAATTTACTCGTTCGTCCCACTCGGCCCCTTGTTTCATCGACATGCCCCAGTCGTTTATGCAACCGTGCTGCACTATGTCAGTGCTGTACAATGTACGTACAGGCTTAAAGTGCAACTCCCTTGTAAATGACAATTCCGAGTCTCGCAGCAGTGTGTACATGCAGCCTCGGGCTGCGAGCCTTGGCATTCACTGCCATGGACGAGAGTTTACGAGTCTCAAAGCCGTGCAATCAGCCTTGGATATATTGCCCTGGACAAGGGTTGCAGGGCTCACAGCAGTGTATTCAGGAACTAGAGATGGGGAGAAGAGAAAGAACTCAAGGACAGAGAAACGAAAAGCGAGTAGACGCTAAGCCATCGACATCCCGTAGGAAGGCTGCTCTTTTGCAACCCAGCAAACACCACCTCCTCTTTTTGATTGCCCTGCTTCTCGACATGCATCCCTCCTCTTGCTCCTTTGCTTAACCCAGGAAATCCAATTTCTTTCCACCACCTCCTCTTTTTGATTGCCCTGCTTCTCAAATTGTTATTGTCATTGCCGCATGCGATGTCACTTGTCCTGCTGCTGCCATTTCTCCTCCATCTCCTTCTCCCTCCTCGTTGCTGCTGCTCCTCTCCTTCTCACTCCTCCTCCTCCTCTTTTCTCCTCCATCCTCATCCTCCCCCCTACCCTCCCCTCCTCCTCCTCCACTCTCCCCCTCCTCTTCCCCTCCATACTCTCCTCATCTACCTCCTCCCTCCCCCCCTGACTGAATTTCCTCCTCCTTTGTTCCTCCTCTTCCTCCTCCTCCTCCTCCTCCTCCTAATCGTCGCACTATCTCCTAACTTGAGCAAACTTGCATACCTGTTCTTTACATCCTCCTTTCCTTTTCTGGCATGCCGCATCGCACAGCTGATACCCGCATTCACTCCTGTCATTACTGCAAAATTTCTTGCTTGAACCATGGGGCCGCCTGCCAGAGCCTACAGACGCACGCACATACACACAGATGCAGACACCCGCAAACACACAGAGAAAGAGAGACAAATGTATGTGAACATTGTGTACAAAACTACATATGTACGATATAAATATAAATCATAACCCGCTAGAGCCATCACCATCGTCCACAACAAGTGCCAGGGAAGTTTGAATTGAAAACAATTACTTGCAGGCACACACAAGTGGGCATCATGCACAAACAAAAACAAAAACAAAAACAAAAACAAAAACGAAAACAAAAACGAAAACGAAAACGAAACGAAAACGAAAACGAAAACGAAAACGGGAACGCAAACGCAAACCAGAAAATCCAGGAAATCCAATTTTCTTTCCAGCACATGAGTCACACATCAAAAACCTGCCACAAGATGCCCGTTGCGTTTGATCTTCATTTCTCACATCAAAACCCTACCCCAAGATGCGCATTGCGTTTGATAACAACTTTGATTTTCATTTCTTGTGGCCAAAAGAAGCTATGTTCGGAAGAAACAAAAAAGAGAAGGAAAAAGCTACCCTCTTCACCCAAATAGAATGCCCGGTCATTATTGCTGCATATGGACTGGAAGTAGCACCAAATACAGGTATAATGACCGGAGTTCTATTCAGGTGAAGACAGTACACGGTATGGAAATTCCCACCAGATCATCCGGGTCACGGATCAATCCAGATTTCTAGATGATCAGGAAAGTCCCATCACAGGCCCGGATTCAAAATCTGACTCACGAGTTGTTCTGCACATGGCTGCACCTCCTTAGGGAGCACAGAATGGGGGTGTTTCACCCGTTTCAAACAAATACACACAAACATGCACACACACACACACACACACACAAAAAAAAAAAATAATAATAATAATAATAAAATAAATAAATAAATAAAAATCAGCACACACACAAACACACACATGCAGTACCCGAGCAGCATAACCGTGGGGATTTGCACCCTATCAAATCCTTGAGTAAGAAAGCCCCTCCCCATCAAATTAGTGAATGATGCCAAGAAAGAGCTTCTTGCCTTCATGATCAATCCCAAACGTTGGTTTGAACTAGTGCTGCACACCGATGAGGACTTCCTCCCTGTGGAGTTCTTTAGAAAGAACTAGAACGGTCGATCCAGAATGAGGACAAAAGGGAGCTGCGAGCAGAGTCGAAAGTTTGGTGGATTCGAGCTCTCCTCGCAGGCACTGAAAACCACATGCAAAACGCCAAATCCAAGGGTCGTCGCAAAGCAAAAAAGGAACACAAAACGACAAAACCACGGATCGAAGGGCTTTGATATCCGAGCTGTGCTCACCTCTACACTGGAAAAGGAAAACGGAGCAGGGAAAGAAAAAACGAAGGGACCACCAACCACTACCCAATCCACATTTTTTTGAATATGTGGCACACCGCATCCTCTTAGTAAGAACCCCCCTCCCCATCAAATTAATCAATGGTGGGAAGAAAGGGCTTCTTGCCTTCGCGATCACTCTCACACGTTGATTTGTACTAGTGCTGCGCGCCGACGAGGACTTCCGCCCTCTTGCGTTCTTTAGAAAAGAAAACAAAAAGTCCTTCCCCATCAATTCCATTTACGATGCAAGGAAGGAGATCATGGTTACCTTCATGACCACTATCAAACGTCGGTGGCACTCCTGACCTGGTACAAGAACTTCACATGGGTTACAGATAAATACCCCACTACCATCTTCACCCGAATAGAACACCCGGTCATTATAACTGTATCTGGACTGAAAATTGCACCAAATAAGGATATAATGACCGGGCATTCTATTCCGGTGAAGCCGGTAGTACTGTATAAGCCACAGTAGTAGTGCTGGATGAGAGTGGTCATGCGCCACAGTAATAACTTGGCATGGGTCAACGTCACGATCCGCGCTGGCCTTTGTCTCGACGCTCTGGTCCCGACGCTCTACACCAATTCGACTCCGGCATCAAGCATAGAGCGTCTCCATACTCTACATCAATTCGACTTCGACACCAAGCATATCCAAAGCGCATCGCATAGATCTGTTAGTGCTTTGCCTCAACGCTCTGACCTTGGTTCAGCGGTACACCACTACTACTCGTTCACATTGCATGTGGTGAGCAGCGGCATTTTCTACAACTTAATCAGGCTGACCCAGACTTCCATGACACTTAAACATAATACCATTAGGTGCTCACTCCACCTTCATCTCGTTTCCGGTTCAGGATGGGTACCTGTGTTTGCACTCACAGGGACATTTACACATAATATTAAACCACCAGTACTTGGCCCAGCTATAGATGCCGAGCCGGGATACCCCCTGCGCGCCAAGTTTTGCTGAGCCGTCGGGGCGCCGTTTCGTTTTGATTTTGGCTGGCGCTTCCAGCCATTGCGGTTCGGTGCCCCGAAGCCCGCAACTACCGGCGCGTTAACGGGAATCGCCCGCGGCCGATAGCTGGGCTAAGTACTGGTGGTTTAATTGCCCACTCCACCGTCTTCTCATTCCGGCGTTCGGGATGGGTACCTGCTTTCGCACTCACGCGGACAGGACAGGTTGTGTGTCCCTCGTGATCAGAGGCCTTGGACTCGGCCGCTACGTGACGAGTACCACGACGCCAGCGTTGTCGATTACCTCCGCATAAACGGCACTATGGCACAATTGTGCCACAACGGTTTCCCCGGTCAGGTTTCGTTACAGTGGATATACCACGACACCAACCTCGTAAGGTCACCTCAGCTCTATGTGACAACAACCGCCACAGTGGTTTCGATTGGTTGGGTTTTCTTACCAACATCACTGTCCAAATCATTCACACACCACTTGTATGGGGAGTTGCGCGGGCCTTTCCAGTTTCAACATGGCCCCATGCATACATTGTCATTGCTATGGACATCACTGGGTCTATCCCACCAAATCGAAAGGGTCAAGATGGCATTTTGATGGGGGGGATTGATCATCTAAGCAAGTACACAGCAGCAACTCCCATCAAGATGGGTGGGTACCCATCTTGACCCGCGAAGATGGGTACCATGCATATCCCGCCAAGATGGGTACCATGCAAGTACCATGCATATCCCGTCAAGATGGGTACCATGCATATCTCTTGCCAAGTTGATATGGGTATCATGCATATCACGCATCTCTCTTGCCAAGTTGATATGGGATGGGTACGATGCGTATCCCGCCAAGATGGGTACCATGCATATCCCGCGAAGTTGACATGGGTACCAAGCATATCCCGCCACGATGGGTACCCATGATGGGTACCATGCATAT